AAAATTACTTAAGAAAATAACTTAAAAATGTTAAATAAATTCCCGTGCTGAACCACTAGGTCCACATTTACAACAAATCAAAACACAGTGAAAGAACGTTCGTAACTTTGCTAAAGGTTCTCTGGGAAAAAAAAAACCAACAACAAATCTTTGTTGTTGTTTTGTTTACACATGTCCACTCATTTAGTAACTTTTTTCAGCACACAAAGTTCAACAGTTGAAGAATCAACATCTAACAAAATATATAAAATAAAAATGTAAACCTGCTTCATTGTTGTTGTGGTTTCTAGGGAGCAAAATGTTCGTGTCCTTGTAAACAGGCTGCTGTTTTTCAGCTTTGTCTGTCACATCCTTAGATTAGCTTTAAAAAATATATATTTATGATTTTTCCACTAAAAGAACAGTTCACGCATGGACAACAGAGGTAAAATTAATAGAAAACGTCTTTAAAATATCTTTAGTAGCGTAGACAGGGCCTAGAATTAAAGTTACTATACCATTTATCAGCTCAATAGTCTTATCTGGGGACTCCACTAGAGTAAATTTCTATCCACGTTACAATGTGCAAGTGATACCTCATACAAACAAAATAAAATAAAAAACTGTGACTTGCTTTCATCTTTTGTCATGATTTGGAAACTCTGAAAAAACAGTGACCACAACACATCAGATCAAATACAGCACAGTTAAACGGAATATGTTACATATCAGTAAATACAAGTAATATGAATTTTTTTTTGTTCCAGAAAGAAACGTCACCCAAAGCGGAAACAGCGAAATATGAAGGAAGAAAGTAACACGAATAAGAAAAATGTGGCTAACACAGTTTTCAACCCCTTGATTTGTTTCCCAGTTAGTTCAACAAAATCAGGAAACGCTGAAACAACAATATATAGGCATTAAATAAATTAATCAATTTAAAAACAAACACCGTAACATATAATCAAAATACATATTTACAACCAAGTAAAATGAAAACAAAGCTAACAGAAAGTTAATTTTTAGGGGAAAATATTGTAATGAATGTTAGTTGACTGTTAGCATTACGTGCTAAACACCTACATGTCCACCTCTTCATCTATTCACGTGTTTTGGTTCTAATTATGTATTATAAATATATTAGGCTTATAGTTTTGCAGCATTTACTGAGCTGATATGTACTTTGTACACAGAAACCAAAATTTGACATCATTTGTGCCTGATATGTTGATATATTATGTGCCAATGGCTACAGCGAGAAAAGCGAAGCTACGTCAAAACGATCGTCTGCCTTCCGATGAAGGGCCTGACTTGACTTTAGATACGTGCAAAGCAGGAACTGCATGTAAATAAACATACGAGGAAAGTTTCAGCACAAACACACTTTGATGCAGACAACAAATTAAACTTTCAAAACGCTAAAACTAAAGCTTTTATCAGGATAACAGGCAGCTGGACTTTTACCGAACAATTACTTGTAAACTAACAAAAAAAGTTACAATTAAACCCTTTGTCTTCTAATATTCTGTCCCAGAGAGAAAACTAGATTCTAGATTCACAAGCTGCTATTCAAAAACTCGTTAAAATAAAATAAACAAGAGTCCTCATCCTCTGTTACTAAGGTTTTGTACAATAGTGGAAACACAATATCTGCAAAGAAAACCCTTCATTTTGGTTTGTAATACAACCAAAATCTTTAGGGTATACTGGTAAGTGACAGTCCATCATTTCGGTTCCACAGCTTGTATTTTAATTAAGGAAAAACCATTACCCACAGGTCATAGCAGTATGGACGACTACCTCCTTTTATAATAAAAGCCGTGTAAAGGAGGGCAGCCACCGCTTCATTTGGGGTCTGGTCTTACAAGGGCTAGTCTAGACTGAGGAGAAAAACATTATGTTCTCTCTGCATTGCCAAGACTGAGTAGAAAAACACTATGTTCTCTCTGTGTTGCCAAGACTAAGAAAAACACTATGCTCTCTCTGCATTGCCAAGACTGAGAAAAACACTATGTTCTCTCTGCATTGCCAAGACTAAGAAAAACACTATGCTCTCTCTGCATTGCCAAG